AATATCTGTAATTTATGGCATAAAACTGAAAATAAAAGTAATAGAAATTAATTAAATTAAAATAAGAAAAATATGGATTGAACTTATCATATTAAAAAGCAAGTATCATTCATATGTATTGCTCTCCACAAATGTTAAAATTAAAGGAAATTGTGTACTGAATGCCTTTTAGACCATGGAGTCTAAGTTAAACAAACAGTTCCGATTGATAGATTTGGAGAAATGCTTATCAAGAAACTAAAAGAATCGAAGCTAGATGAGACATCTGAATTAACAAACTAGACAATGAATTTCAAATCCATTGTCTCTAAAGTTGAGAGTATGATGAAAAAAATTTGGGAAGATTTAACAAAATCGATTAACGAAATTTATGATATAATTGAGCATGAAAATAAATCATACATTAATCTTATTAATGATAATATCAATCTAGCAGAATCCTCTTATACAGACTTAGAAAAATTAGTATAAATTATTGAAGGAAACTCATTAAATTAATGTAACACTTAGAAAATTTCTATTTGGTAAACTTAGAAAGGGCAAAGAATTGGTTGAATTAAGAAGTTATAGCTTTTAATGAAAAAATATAAAAAGAATTGACACCAATATTCAATTATAAAATTAAACATTAAGTTCAATTATAATCCCATTAAGACTATTAATAATGATAAATAAAATCATAATTAAAATAAGATTAGCAATTATAAATTAAATCTTAACCTTAATTCAATTTTAAACCATTTACTTATTAAATAATTAAACATAATTCAATTTAATAAAAGGAATGGTGGAGGTCAGTTGCTTTTAATCAAGATTAATGGATTTGTTCATAAATACTTAAATAACACAATAAATGTATAAATTGCTTAATTATATAAATAATAATGAAGATACTATCATATCAAGTAGTGGTGATTCTACTATTAAGTTTTAGATTAAGCAAAATGGATGGATCTGTCAATAAACAATCACAGATCATAAGGATGCAGTTTTTTAGTTAAGTTAAATGAAAATCAAAATAAAGTTATATCAGATGGATGGGATCAATTAATATTAATAATAGAATATTCAGAACATAATAAAAAGTGGACAGTAATATAAAATATTAAAGTTGATTGTTAAGGATTGATATTATGTTTTATCAATAATAATCTTTTCACATTTCAACCTTATAAAGGTAATTTGATGCATGTCTATGAGTTAAATAACGGGAGTAAATAGTTCACTAAAACTAATCACATTGCTCTTGTTCAAAATATATTCCGTTATGTTATTTAAAATCAAAATAATTACTTGTGAGTAAGCATAATAATATCAAATTAATAAGAAAGACAAAAAATTATGAATTAAAAGTTGAGTAATCTATTAAATTTGGAAGTTAAGTTTTATTCGGGTAAATGAGTGATGATGGAGAGTATTTAATAACTTGGGATAATTCATCTTAAGAAATAAGGAAATATACAGAAAAATGAGCATTATTCAATTATTTAGTGATATTTATAAAACAAAATAAAAAAGTTATGATTGACTCGCATCTTAAATTATATCTGTATTTAAATTATTTCTCGTATTTGCATTAAGATTCTAAATTCTATCGTATAGCAAGCTACATATAGAGTGAGACTTTTTTTGTAATTATTAGATAATTTCAAAACAATTCATTGTTATCACATTTTCCCTGTTTTGATAAATACTTTAGATATATTTATGCTCCTAATTATTTATTTATCCAATATAAACAATTAACTAAAAATAAAAAATATTATCTTGTACCCAAAAGCATTAGCTGTACTATAATGCCAAAATTATGATAAGACCACTTCTATTTGGGAATAAATAACAATTTGTTCAAATGAGATAATTACTTCCAAATAAATTTATTATCTTTTTTCATAGTTATCAATAATTGTATAAAGAATTAAATTTTATAACAGCATAAGAAATTTCAATTAAACTTAAACTTAATTTTACCGATTTTGAAAATTAATAAATTTATAGTACAATGATAAATATTATGCAGTTATGTCGGTTACAAATAAAGATATATATAAAGGCTATTACTAGGAGAATTAAAGGAAAAAAAAATTGTGACCGGCTTTTTTAGAGATTTTTAAATATTCTTAATTTCAGTAAATATTTTATTTTATTTTCAAATTAAACACGAACATTTGTTCCTCAAAAACTAATATTAAAAAAAAAACGATGGCAGAATAATAAACTGTTCAGCCACTTTCAAAGCTAAAATTAAAATTTTTTATGTTATGATAAGAGAAGATGAAGAAGATTTCGAATTTAATATTTTATTTTAAATTCTTTTTTTAAAAACTAAAATCCTAACATAAAACCAAAACCATCATCGAATAGACACTTAACAAAATCTGAAGTTACATATGAAATGAATGAATCTTTAACATTATTATTAGGCTTCCCTTTTAAGATATATCCAAAATATAGGATGCTTTATTATTACTTTCTACCTTCATTAAAATATCCAGTAGATTTAGGACTAGGTTATAAAGAAAATATTAGGATACATACATGAAAAAGAGACTACTTATTCCATTAGGCATTATTTAATATAAACAAAGCTATTAATCCGTTCATTTGACTAATGGGCTTATTGCCTGCATTAGATTAAGAGTAGATCTAACGAATAAATAAAAAGTAAGCGATTTCAATTCTTTTCAGTAAGTGTAGTTCAAGAGCATCAAG